TACAACAATGAAGACAACAACATAGACATAGACGCCACGTTAACACTTTTCATCTGTACAGGAAACATTAATTCTAAGCACGCTATCAAGCACCAAATTAATTATCCAAATGGCAAGACCTAATTCTAAAGAAATTGACAGACCATTAACACAAAAAGTACAATTATGAGAGAATTATGGACAAATTAATGAAACAAAGAACAAAATTGTTACTCAAAGGTCTGGTAGCTTTCATTGGAGAACTTTCAACATTTTGATTTGTAGCCTCAACCCGGGAACTGTGCCCCATCTAAAAATCCTGTCGAGCCTCACTGGTGAATCGCCAGGCTGCGATCGTGACACCCGGTCAGGTCAAATCTAAGGTGCCGCATGTCGTCAGGAACATAGTCATCCTGCTAACTTTAGGTTGAGTCTTCATGGGTAGCAGATCATCTTAGATTGAAATTCCACCCTCTGCCAATTGTCTTCGTTCAGTGGTGGCCAACCAGCCGAGCCCGATGTAGCTTTTGGGTCTCCAAAAGCTTCAGTCACATGTCCCAGATGGGTCTCTTTTGGATCCGCTTCATGAGGGCCTCATTATCACCGGCTTGTCGCCCTGACGGGTCTCCTTCTCTCTGATATTAGAAAATAGCTGAACTTCTTGATCTGTACGAAAAGAAGAGAAAAAGAGTTCAATTTTAAGTTGTAAGGCAATAATACACTAACATCTTCTTTTATGAGTAATGTTTACAAATGAGCAAACGGGCATAGATAATAACAGAAAACTCGTACCACCGTTTCTTGTCATGTAGTCCTTACTAAGGATGGTACTCCAATATTTCCCAGAATATCAATTCCCTGATATCTTATTTTTTCTATAACTTTGATACTGGTTGACAAGCAAACACAATTGCTTGAAAATGACTTAATGATTCTCACTATATCAAATTAAGCATTTTTAGATTTTTCTTTAGAATGTTATTCGAAATTTTTGTCTTTGACAACCTTGCATGTGCCAACTTGGTTGAATGGTTATCTGATCAAATGATTGAACCTGACTATCAGTAACTCTTTATTTACATCATTGGATATAAACATTAATTATATAGTAAACTATCAAACTTAGAAACTTAGCCAGGTCATGGTTTTTACAGAAAATTATAAAAAGATGATTAGGTAGATTGTAAAAGGTACTAACTTTCAACTTATTAAATTGAAAATAAAAAGCTAAGCTCAAGCTCTAATATAAAATAAGACCTGCATGTTGCATACTGATACACACGTTCATTCTGCTTTCTTCTTATTAGTTTACTCTACTGACTTATCTTTGTCAGTCACTAATTAAGATTATGATGTATGCATATTATGGCTTTAGGTTGAAGCTATGCTGGCCAAGGAAAATTTTACACTGGAAGAGCTTTTGGATGAAGAAGAAATCATTCAAGAATGCAGAGCATTAAACAGTCGCCTTATAAACTTGTACTCCTTGCTTAAACACTTGTCTCATTTGACATTTCTGAAGTGTATTCACTTCTAGTTTCATCCAGATAGATACTTTCATTTATTCTTATGACATGTGTGCATGTATCTCGGTCCTCGTAGCATTTGATAAACAAAAAAGCGGTGATGATCTACCTTAGGAGGTTTTATCCCTTGGCCTTGCTCAGGGCAGTGAACCTGAAATTTAGAAAACCAAACAGATGATATCAAATGAATAGACACAATGCCAGAGTTACACATTAAGGAGAAATTTACTTCCAACCCTCCAAGTTTTTTATTACCTTATCATATATCCAATTTTCTTGAACCATAGCGACGTGGTTTTCTAATAACTTATGATGGACCATGTGATGCACTCGCTAAACCCACTGCCAACATCTTCTCAATCACTGAAGGGAAAAATAGTAAACGCTTAGAATTAAAATCATAAAACGAAAATACATTTAGAATCACAAACTTACCTAGGCAGCGCTGGGAAATTCATGCCAGTGTTGATAAGAAACTTCACCAGAGTCGGGTACGTGACGACGGTGAAGGCGAAAAGTTCGTCGAGCTCACCGTGGGCAGGAACAAGAGCTGTAGGCATAGCGCTGGATTTAAATATCGATTGGAGAATATGAAAAGAATGGATTGAACTAAATAATGATTTGCTTATTACAGGCTACACCTTAATCACTTTAAATAGAAGTCAATCAAGAACATGTAGAAAAGATGCAGAACAAACACTCCAAGTCCATACTTCTTAGGCTCATTTAAACGCATTAATTAATCGAGATCAGAATCCAAAACCCAATGTAACTCCAATCCGAAATAGCAATTACAATCCAAAACTTTTATCCTTCCAGAGGAGTTCTTCATATAAACAACACAATCCAAAAATTTCCTTTCTTTTAACCCAAACAAATAATTATTCTTTCAAGATAGTAATTCCAATTTAAATCAACAATTACATCAATTTCAAGTAACATTACTAATTACACCAATTGAAAATAGAAAAAAAGGACAAAAATATACCTTTTTTAAGAGACGAAAGGAACGTGATTTTGCCCGGCCTTGTTGTATAAAGCCCAGCTCTACCACAATCGTGTCCTCCATATACGTAAGTCTCTTATGCGAGTTGTTGTCCCTTACCAAATCTTCTTTTTCTCGACTTGCCGTCGTGTTCGATGTAATCGGTAACAGTGGATTTTTTCTGGGAAAAAAACTCGTCAGCTGCAGCTCCATTTCTTCCATCGGCGACTCTTGAAAGTCCTCTCCACGCAAACTGGCCCGACCAGGCATCGTCGCTGAATAGAATGGCCAAATCGGACCCTCCTCTTGGAGCCCTGCTCATGGTCAAAAACACATAAGAAATAGAATTTTAGATAGTAAAATTTGGATCTGAATTTGTGTGTGTATGTTCGGGGTGAATTTAACGAAGAAGCAAAAACCAAAAAAAAAAAAAGAAAGAAAAAGTGATATCGTAAAAAAAGTTATCAAAAAAATGTTGAAAACACGCACAGATCAACAATTGAATCGGAAAAAAATCGAAGGAAAAAGATAAAAAAAAATAACATACCTCCTATGTAGATGAAAGTCACAAAAATTGTCTCCCTTAATTCGGATTGAAAAATGAAGAAGAATGAACCCTCTCTTCTTTACTTTCTGTCTTATCGTCCTTGGAAGAACAGTGGAAGACGTGCGCAAGATTGAAATAAGACTTCTTTTTCGGTCTTCGAGGGACAGAGAACGTGTAGAAGCCTGGAAAAATGGCTATTGTAATGACACTTATATCCCTTATAAAGTACCCAAGAGTGAGGGCATTTTCGTCCAAAAAAGGACACGTGTCAAGCTCTAAACCCCTTACATTTTTGCTTATATGTAAGGGGGAAGATATATATATGCCCGTGCAGCCTTGGTTACTATGTAAATAAGAAACGATACAATTTCAATTCTTTGCCGAATGAAAAACCCAAATCTCCAAACCCTAATTCCTCTCCCGTTCTCCACTCTCTTCCCTTGTATGTCTTTCTCTCTCATCTCTCTCGTCTAGCTCCGATCGAACATCCGTTTACTCGGGTTTATAAGATCTGTTTCTAGAGAGCGACATATTTTTGGCTAGGCAGTGTAATTGGAGTACAATGCTCTGAGAAGCTCATCGAATTGAGTATCTATATCTCAGGCAGAGATGGTGAGTTCTTAATTTACTAATTTCTTATTCAGATTTGTTTTCTAAAGCAAATGCCAGATTCTGAGAAATTGACGCGGCTTATGTAATCATGTAATTTTTGTCAAATAGGAGTTTCTGCTGCTGATTATGTGTTCAATTTCGAGATAATGATCTTGTCCACTATTTATCCATGGACAGTGATGGCATTTTTTTCATTGTGTTTGTTGTGTTCTGCTTCTTGTTTGTGTTGTTTTCTTAGTTGCAGTCGGATGCTTGCTTTCTCGTTTAATGTTTGTTTTGCTGGTATAACAGGCTTATGAAGTTATGATATTTATTTTTGTTTGCTTTAATATTCTCAAGATTAGGAGATTACTTGTGATCACTGTCTTGCAGGATTTAACGCATGTTGTATATGAGTTTTTCCCTCAGCATGTTATGAAAAAACTTTTCCGGTTGTCTAATGGATTACATCTGAACACATAATTGTATCACATAATATTTTGCGACAAATGCATCTGTTATCCGCATTTGACAATAAAGTTGCAACCTTTAGTAATTTGGTTTTTATTGTACAGAGCATCAGAGAAGGACGAGGCAGACCTCGTAGGGATTACCCATCTTCGAGATCAGAAGAGAAGTCCCACCATGGCCGAGGAAACAATCCTCCATCAAGGCACCTTTGGGCAGGGAATATTTCTCACAGCATAAGTGAGAAAACTTTAGCCAATTATTTTTTACGTTATGGAGATCTTGAGAGCATTGCATTCCAAGCAGGAAGAAGCTACGCTTTTATTAATTATAGAAATGAAGAAGATGCCTTTGCTGCAATTAAAGAGCTTCAAGGCTTTGTTATTGGAGGGAATCCACTTAAGATTGAGTTTGCTAAACCGGTTAGTTTGGTTAACCTTGGTCTAACTACTTATGGTATGGCGGTAGAGCCCCTTATTGTATATCTTTACATTTTATTTATTTATTCAAAATTTTCTGGGTTTTTAATGATACCTTTGTCATTCATGTTGGTCATCAAGATGACGTAAAATAACCAAAACATGAACAAGTGAAGAATGCAATGCATCGGAACCTCAAATCGGCATACTATGAAAGATGTCATGCGAAATCCACTGGTTTGAACATTAGGAAGTAAAATGATTCATATATCTACTTTTCGACCGACGATCCCAAGAACCCATTGCAGTCAGAAATTTTTAGATTTATTATTCATGTCATGGAAACTTAGGAGCCAATAGGATTGGCAAGAGAGGGGTCTTGCGTCTTGGTCAGATTAATTTAAGCTACCAAGATTACTGACTTGAAAATACGATGAATAACTACATACGAGAACCAGAAAAATGGATGTACCTCTTATCCTGGAGATCTAAAACCCGACTTGCCGCTTTTTGATGAGTTAATTAATGACAAATAACATCTTACCCATTAGTGGGGTCGTGGGGAATTAATTTTTGAAATGCGCTTATGTGCTTAGCATGGAAATATTAAGATGTAGCGCTAAGTTCGGTTACCACTTCGTCGATCAGATGCTTTACCTTTCTTATAAAGCAGGCCAATTATTTCTCTCAGTTCAAGGGCACCATAAAACTTTCGACCTGCCAACTAGATCCTGAATTATTGTCTGAATTTTTTCTACTGCTACTTATTTGATTTGATAACTGAAAGTGAGACCTCCATGCACCATGCTACATCCAATGCATTTATTGTTCCAAGTGCAAATTGCGGTTTCATTGCCACAGTATTCCAAGCTCATGCAATTGTAATAACAAGATTTCTTCACCAAATCCTTATACATATGTGTGAGGCATATCTTCATATTGTTTGTAAATTTGCTGTCTGGTCATATCCATTCAAACAGCATCAATGCCTGAAATATCTGAAGTAAATTACTGCAGAACAATTACCAGAATGACTTTGACTTGATACAAAACATGAGTGTTATTTGCAATGCGGACAAACAAACTAGTATTGCAGAGGAACAGTGTTCTCAGCAACCAACACACCATCAAATAACAGGGATACTATCCCAACTCACATGCTAACCCTAAGAAAAATTAAAGTGGAAAATGTTGAAAGATTTTCAAACGAATGTGAACGTAGAGAAATGAATATGAAGATGAAGAACATTGCCTAATTAATTCTTTCTTATGCTCATGCAGTTCATGGTTCTTAGCTCATTGATTTTTATGCTAAGATCATGAAATCCTTCACATGATTTCTCCCGACTAACGAGCATACATTTTTGAGTGATTTGCCATCAAGTTATCAAGGACCATAGTTGTGCATTATATTGAAAGAAAATCCATCAGTGTGGGAAGCAATTTTCTTAATTGTGGAGTGATCCATTTATTTTTATGAAAAGATCATCGTGAAATCGTTTATACGAACTATCCTGAATGTACAACGTAAAATTTAATTTGATTTGGTCATCTGTCATTAGAGCATCATGGATAAAAATTGCACATCTTATTGAAAGAAACTTCATCAGCTTGGAATTGCAATTTTCTTAGATTGGGAGGTATCATCTTGATCGGTAAAAGAAATGTGTTTCTTGTACGCATTATTCACGAACCATTCATCAAGCAATGAATTGACATGTTTGCTTGACATCAACTATCACAAGCACAGAATAAATTGCCTCACCTAATTTCTTCAGTCTGCTATTTCCAATTTAAAATCTTGATCCAAGCAGTTAGAAGGTTGTTACCCTTATATTTTCATGGCATGACTGAATGAATATAGTAAGTTGTTTTTGGTTATTATGCCTGGATGAAATGCCTCCAAAAGTACCTTAGGATAGAAAGATAATGCATAATATTAGGAGAGCATAACAAACAACGCATGTTAAATCGTGCTTGATTTTTGAACCTAAAATCTTATATTAACTATTCATTCATAACAACTTATCTCAGCAACTTTTCTGTACCTGCAAATTTTTTGACCCCTCTTGTTATGCATTGGCGGGATGTTTGGTTGAACACTGTTGGATTTTGCGGTAATTCAGATATGGGTTCCTGCCGTCTTCTTTTGAATACGAGTCGAGCAAGTGGAACTAGTTTATTCCAATCAATTGAACTTGAGGATGGGGAAAATTTAGTAAGAGTAATAACTATTCCACTCTAAGAAAAGCGCATTAACCATGACCCCGTGAAGTTCCATTACCAGCTAGGCTGCTACCTTCAGTATGCAAGTCTACTACCATAAAGGCACTATTTCATTTGTTATGCTGCAGCCCGATATCCAATTTGATGTTATTTCTTGGAGTATTGTTTGACTAGTACACAAAACAAAGACTTAGTATGTTGTATACCTCTTCTGTTTCGCTTTCCCATAACCGCTCAGAAGATTCACTCTTGTTTCTGCTGATATAGTCCCTGTTTTATCATTGTTACCCTGTAGGGCATACTCGTTAAAGAGTGAATGAAATATATGCTCCTCGTCAAACTTAATCTCTATACGATGAGAAATTATATATAGCTGGGAACAAACATGGGAGCGAGGCATATCAATCCTAAACATTCAGCCTTCGAATCTTATCGATATAGTAAATTATGTTACTAAGTTAACTCTTCAGCACTTAATTATCAAAACTTCCTTGTCCTTGGACCTTGATTAACTTGAAGTGCTGAGGTTCTCAAAGTACATTCATTGTGTACCTAATCATAGAAAGAAAGAAAAAAAAAAAAAAAAA